AAAAAAAAAAAAAAAAAAAAAAGATTTTGACCTATATCTGAAATCGGGGCATCATTCTGGATGGGGACTGCATACAGTGGTGCCTCGCATAATGACGAATCTGCATAGCGACGATGTTTTTGCGATTGCTTTTGCGATCGCATAACAATGTTTCCTATGGGGAAAATCGCTTTGCGATGATCAGTAAGCTGTTTCACTTACCAATTTTCGCATAGCGATGTTTTCCCCCAGCTGATCGGTGGTTCCAAAATGGCCGCCGGGTAAATCAGGGACGGATTCCTCGCTTACCAGGCAGCTAAAATGGCCGCTGTATGGAGGATTTTCGCTTAAAAGGTAAGTTTTAAGCCCGTAGGAATGCATCGAAAGGGTTTCAGTGCATTCCTATGGGCTTTTTAATTTCGCATAGCGACAAATCCATATAGCGATGATTTTTGCTGCACGGATTATCATCGCTATGCGGGGCACCACAGTATCTTCCCCTCCATTCTAAGCTGAAAATAGTTTTATGTAATGAGTGCTGGTTTCATCAACACCAAATGACTTGGAACAAACATATGAATGATTGGAATGTCTTATAAAGGAAAATGCTGGTGTCCTGGGCTTATATTATAAGGTGCATGGCCTAGTACTGTAATGTGTTTCTGGTAACTGCTGTCAGCCTATTTTTTGCCTGTGTTTATCTGATAAACATTGGATGGGTACTCGGCTTCTCTTCCAAAGTCAGTACTGTACTACTGTCCATAAAGCACTTCATCTAACAAATAGCAGAGTCTCCCAGCTTGATGGGAAGTTGTGATGCTGTATACTTGCACTGTGATGAATTCAGGAAGCGGAGCAGGTGCATTTGGATGGCAGCTTCACCATTTTGTCTGCTGTGGCAACCCTGCCACTTTCTTTCCCCACCAGTGTGATCAACCTGCAGGCATTGACAATATTTGTGCTGTGTTGGACTCGTAGGCTGGGCCTCTGCATAGTTCTGTGTGTTTATGGAAAATAATTGATGAAGAGTCTTGGCTTTTGTTTTTAAACTGCCTGCTTCCTGCTTAGTTCTCTAACTTGGAGGCTACCTTGTTGTTTTCAGACCCAGTGGAGTTTGGAGAAGTTGCTTTGCAGCCTCCAGTACTTACAGTAAAGCCCAGAAAGAGTGTTGTCAAAGACAAGGTAAAATGGTTGTGTATGATTCTAGCTATTTTTCTTCACTTTTTTCGGAGCCTACCCTTGCCCTTTTTGTTTCCACTTCAAAGGTTTCACTCTTACAGCAGGCCACTAACTGACATTACCCTCCCTGTGTCAGGTTAACTCTGTACAGCATTTTAGTTGCTGGAGATCTGCTTGTCGGAGTCGGTCCTTTAGGATCAGACTTGGAATTGCGACCACAATCCCTTTCCTCTTCATGTTTCTCCAGCACATCTCTCTTGTGTTGTAGGCTGGCCAGAGGCAGCTTCTCCTCACCTCTCTCTTGAGCTCCGGGAAAACAGCTTCCACCCAGAAGGCATCTCTGGCCCGCCAGAGGATTGTACTGGAGGAAAGGGAGCGGGTTGTGCAGGCCTACCGTGACATGAAGAAACAGAAGCAGCATCGCTCGGCCCAGGCACAACTTTCTTTGGACAAGCTAAAGAAGCCGGTTTGAATTGACAGAAAGCAATGAGTGTTCAGAAAGCAAGAACTCGTTTAATACAAGGACGAAATATCAGGCAGGAGGTCCATTGTGGTAGAGTGGTCCCCTTTGAATGGATGTTTCCGGCTACCAGGACAAATGTGTTACTTACTTCATAGGAGACAAGTGACTGGGTAGTTTATGGGCCAACGTCCATCACTTCTAGGAGCAGAAGGAATTCCGTACAAGGCATTTTCCCCAGGCCCACTTTGGAACTGCACGGCCAGCGATCTTAGTGCCACGGCGATTGCAGCAAGATTCTTTTCCTGCGGAGGTTCAGCCGTCCTACCTGGTACTCACACGAGTCCTGCCTCGAGTCTGCCTTTTAACTGTTCTTGTAAGCTTTCCATGGCTTCGAGTAGCCGTTGGGGATGTTTTTAGAGGGCAGCTCCCCTCTTCTTTAAGCATTGGCTGTGCTGGGTAAGGCTGATGGGAGCTGCCGACTTTAAAATAAATCCCACATGGAAAACAACACTTGCTCGTCCTTTTCTTTGCAAATGCTGCAGAAATAACTTCTATAAAATGTTACTGAATTTGTTTGTGTTGCACATTTTCCCCTGCTTCTCCCTCCTTGCTTACCTTAAACAAACAAGCATATAACTGACTAAGCATTTACACATAAAGGATGAAAAAACACATTTGTTGAGATGGGATGGAGGGAGGTAATGATCCAAGATGAGTCTTTCCTTAGAGTATTGTGCCCAGTTTTGAAACCAGAGGAATAACAGATGTGGTAGGATGATTGGAGCATCTGTTCTCCTTTTATGCAAGAAGAACCTATTCTCCTAGGTCTCATAAGAGAAGGAATGTGATCTTTTCTAATATTCTCATGTCGGCGTTCAGCCTGATGAGCGCATTCTGGAGCAGAAGGAAAACTGAACACTTGCACAGTAAATCAATATTGCCTCCATCCAGATCTGTTGTCTTTTATTTCTTCTGTTCTCCATGTGTTGTTCTCTTCTTCAGTCTTGCAAAGAAATGACCTTCCCTGCACTGTAAAGAAACTGCTCACTGTTTGAAAGCAGCTATAGTCAGCCCTTCCTATAATGCCAGCCCACAGTTTCCCCAGAGGATTAGAAAACCACTGGGAAAAAAATCTGGAGGTTCCTTCCCTTGCCAGAGCTTTCAGAGTTGGATGGAATGATTAGTGTTTCTGTTTTGCAGATATTTTAGATCAACCTGAAAAATGAGGCTGCAAATGGAAACACTGGTCATTTTCATTTCTTTTTTTCCCCAGCCTTACTCCTGGTCCTTCCAAATCCTGCCTTACTTTGGTAGGAACTAAAGTAAGCCTTAAGTAGTGTGTGAAAGAAACTAAAGTGATAGGGTAAAGAGTTAGAATTTTTTCCCCCATGCCGGATAGATTTTACTGCATGAACTGAATCCCTGGTGCAATATGGGCTCTGCTACACTGGACTTAGGAGGGATGTGGTGGCGCTGTGGGCTAAACCGCAGAAGCCTTTGTGTGCTGCAGGGTCAGAAGACTAGCAGTCGAAGATCGAATCCACATGATGGAGTGAGCTCCCGTCGCTTTATCCCAGCACCTGCCAATCTAGCAGTTCGAAAGCATGCAAATGTGAGTAGATAAATAGGTACCACCACGGTGGGAAGGCAACGGCGGTCTGTGTCTAGTCGCGCCGGCCACATGACAACGGAAACTGTCTTCGGACAAACGCTGGCTCTATGGCTTGGAAACGGGGATGAGCACCATCCCCTAGAGTCGGACACATCTGGACTAAAAATGTCAAGGGGAACCTTTACCTTTTACACTGGACTTGAGCCCTGCAGTTTGTTTTATGTCGTGTCTTGCTTTGGCTTTTTAAAGGTTTTTATCATCTTTGCCATTGCCAAGACTTGGTTTTTAATTTGTTTTAAAGGGAATGACTTTTTTTAAAAGCATGCTGATATTTGGTAGGGTTTGGCAGACTAGCTGTAAACAGAAGACTTGAGTGGGAAATTTTGGCAACTTTGCCTAGAACAGTTTAGCACCGGTCTGCCAGTAGGTGGCAGGATGTGCATACAGGCAGTGGAGACTCCTTACTGCTTAAATTCCATTCTGTAGGTATTCTGAGGAGCCTCTGCCTGCATCTTTTGTTGTAAACTCTAATGCAGGGTGGAGTTCTAGCTGCAGGTTGATTGCTTGATGCTCTGACCTTATATCTTGGCTAAATAATTAACAATACAGAAAGTATTACTAAGTCTTTTTGAGGCTGTGGTGCACTTTCTACTCTGCTGTAATCTTGATTGACTGTTGCTTTCAGATACCTGGGATTGGGTTTTGCACTGTTAATCCCTGAGATTTCTTAAAAAAAAATTAAATGCCACCAAATTGCATGGAAGGATTTAGCCACATTCATATGGATGAGCCCTTTGTGGAAGGATTATATCTACCAGGTGGCATGTTTACGTGGAAGGAAATTCTATGGATTGCACTGGGACACAGAGCAGCATTAGGAAGCTTCTCCTTAGTCTAATGTTTTAGGCTACAACTTCCAAAATTCTTTACCACTGGCCATGTGGAATGGTGCTGGAGGCAGCTATAACATTGGAAGGGTTAGAGGCTTTGCACTCCTCTAATGGAGAGTATATATGCCCAAGAAAATAGCCTTGCAGCACAATCTCGTATGTATTTGTATATTGTGAGCCGCCCAGAGTAGACTATGTCTAGATGGGCGCCATATAAATGCAATGAATGAATGAATGAATGAATGAATGAATGAATGAATGAATGAATGAATATTTAGTCAGAACTAAGTCTTGTATTCAGCAGAATAGAGTAGTATTTAGGATTGTAATACGGGAGTCACTACCAGATTGGTGTTACCTTTGGAATTGTTCCAACTATAAAATGTGTTTTGCCCTGGAATGCAAGAATGGATGCTCAGTTTGTTCAAAGAATAATAAGATGAAAATCGCTATGGTGATGCTTTTGAGTGGGTTGTGTTATTAAAGCACATTAGCAAGTTTTTGACTTCCACAAAACTCTTCCCCAGACAGTTTTTAAGCAGTCTTGGAACGAGGGCTATCCTATCTAGTTAACCCATTGTAATACTGTCCAGATGAGTTGAATGATTTCTCATCTAGGGCCTTTGCTTGTCTTCTAGCCTTTTGAAAAGATGTTAATCACATCTTTCTAATTTGGCCTTTTAAATGACTTTGCCTTTTTAATGTTAAGATGTTAGGATGGTGTTGTTTCTGACTCTTTTTTTATTAATAACTTGGGATAAGGTAAGGGATACAGAGGGTAAAGGGGGATATGGGGAGGGGAAGAGGAGGAGAAACACAAAATGTAGCGAGATCCAATCTATATATGTTGCAATATCAACTTGACTTTTTGCTTTTCTACTATTTGATTGCCCTCCAGGTTTTAACTTACATTTACATCCTAGTTTAAATCTATGTTATTCAAGCACTATCTGGTGACTCAAGCCATTTATATAATCTCATTGTTCAGTTGCCTTTTGTATTGGACAGTCTTTCAACACTTCTGATAAGATATCAATTTCTGCTGCTTCCCGTATCTTCTCAATAAGTTCCTCTTGTTTCAGTATCACAGGTTTCTTCCAATTCTTGGCATAAAGAATTCTCGCTGTAGTGACTATATATATAACTGTAAATAGTTCTTTGTCTTATCTGTATTGTCTGGTATAATACTCAGTAGAAACAGTTCTGGGGTTACAAAGCAATCTTTTTTGTAACAGAGTATGTACTCCTATCTAATATTGTTTCGCTACTCTGCAAGTCCACCACATATGGTAAAAGCTTTCCTCATGTGCTTCACACTTCCAGCAAAGATTTGACACATCTGTATAAATCTTTGACAATTTTTCCGGAGTCATATGCCACCTGTAAAACATCTTGTATATGTTCTCCTTGAAATTAACCGATTTTGTGAGCTCTATATTATTTTGCCATATTTGCAACCATTGATCAATATCAATATTATGTCCTGTATTTTGTGCCCACCTAATCATACATTCTTTGACCATCTTGTCTTGCATTTTAATTTCTAACAAATAATCATACATTTTCTTAATTTCTTTATCTTTTGAGCCCAGCAGAAGTTTATTGAATATCGTTTGTTTTGTGTAAAAGCCCTCTATTTTATCTTTTCTATACTTAGATTCCACTTGTGCTCTGGACCACCAGTCTAGATACATGTTTTGTGTCTCTAACTCTTTTTTAGTCCTTAACTCACAATCCTTTTAAAATAAATCTTGATATCTTAGAAGTTTCACTTCCGTCATGAGATTAGGTTGTGTAAACACCTCTATAGGTGATACCCAGACTGTGGGGTGTTTTTTTTTTTTTTGGTAAATCTGTTGGATGATCTTTTTCCAAATCCCTAGTAGGGGTCTTCTTATCATATGCGAGTTGAAATGTTTCTGCTCTTTATCTTTCTTGTACCATAGAAAAGCATGCCAACCGAACTGCAAATCATGTCCTTCCAAATTGAGTAGTCTATCATTTCCTTTATCCAGTCTAATACACAGGATCTATAATACAAAACCCAATCTGGGAGACCAAAACCCACTCTTTGTTTGGCATCTTGCATTGCTTTAGTTTTAACTCTTGGTTTTTTTTACCTTGCTACACAAATCTCATAATTATCTTGTTAAGTTCTTGAAAAAATACTGTTTTAATATTATAGGAATTGTCCGAAATAAAAACAGAATTTTAGGTAGAACATTCATTTTAATGGTTGCTATTCTTCCCATCAGCAATAGCTGTAATTTGTCCCATCTCTCCAAGCTAAAGATCTTGGTGGGAGAAGGCGTTCCGCCAAGTATCGAGGCCCTAAACCGTTTAGGGCTTTATACGTGAGCATCAACACTTTGAAGTGTTGAACATTCATTTTAATGGTTACTATTCTTCCCATCATCGATAGCTGTAATTCGTCCCATCTCTCCAAGCTAATGTGTATCTCTTTAATCAACTTCATATAATTGTCTTTAAATAATGTACTCGTTTTCTTTGTGATTTGGATCCCTAAGTATCTAAGTCTCTTTTCTTCTTGAAAGTTAGTCTTTTCTATTATCTTCTGTCGTTCTTGTTCTCTCATATTTTTTACAAATATTTTTGTTTTCTTTTGGTTTATTTTCATTCCTGCCATATCACCAAAATTTTTCAGCATCTCCTGCAGATCTTCAATTGACTCCATTGGATCTTCCAATAGAATAACTAGATCATCCGCAAAAGCTTGGAGCCTCGTGGCGCAGTTAAACCGCTCAACTGCAGCCAAAACTATGCTCACGACCTGGGGTTCAATCCCAGGTAGCTGGCTCAAGGTTGACTCAGCCTTCTGTCCTTCCGAGGTCAGTAAAATGAGTACCCAGCTTGCTGGGGGGGGGGGGCAATGTGTAGCCTGCATAATTAACTTGTAAACCACCCAGAGAGTGCTTGAAGCACTATGGGGCGGTATATAAGCAGCACGCTTTGCTTTGCTTTTATAAGTATGACCTCTTACTTTCAGTCCTTTTATTTCCTTTTTATCTCTAATTTGCTCAGTTAATATTTCTAGAGTAAGAATGAATAGTAATGGAGAGGGCACTCCTGTCTAGTACCTTTCTGTATTTGTCTTCTCTCCATTGATTCTAACTTTTGCCTTTTGCTGGGTATAGATTGCTTTACTTAATTTCAGAAATCTTTCTTGAACTTGTGGCGCTTCCAATTGATGTAGCGTAAAATTCCAATTCAGATTATCGAAAGCTTTCTCCGCATCCAAGAATATCATAGCCATTTGCTTTTCTGGGTGGGCTTCATAGTATTCCAGAGTATTTAAGATTATCATCTGCCTTTTTGGAAGACAGCCCGACTGGTCTTGATGTATTGTCTGTATTAAAATTCTTTTCAATCTAGTTGCCAACATGGTTGCATATATTTTATAATCCACATCAGTAATGAGATCAGTCTA